AGGAATTTTAGTACTTATAAGAAATATCATAAAAAATACAACTGCATTTAGTATTTTATATTATAGTAATTTGATTAGTGATACCACAAATATTTGGAATTTCGATATTACTTAATTGAATATTACTACGCTTCAACGTTAAATTATTCAATTCAAACTAAGCAATTTGATTATTTCTGAAGCCTGGAAATTTGCCGCGGTTGACTTTCAGGGAATTTACTTATCAGTGTACCGAATTGAATTTATAATGCTTGAGTTGTTAATGCATTAGTGGAATGTGAGAAACTCAGAGTCGATATGAAAGAGAAATTTAAAATTAACTGAACTAAAGGTATGAAGACATGGATGGTGTGGTATTTTGTATGGTCGTGGTCTCCTTTCGTTTTATAGAAGTTGTTTGACCTTGATTTCAGCAAATTGTTCATATTAGCAGGAAGACCTTGAGGAAAGAACCTTGTCCGGAGTCCATAGTATGCATGATCATTTCCAGAGTAGGACTGTGGACTTGGTATATTCCCAAACATATCAGAAGTTATGATAAGACGAGAGCCAGACTAGATGGTAGGAACTGGATAGAGGTACCAGGACAAAATGAGGAGTGATAGCATAAAAGTCTCGACACAAAGTTGGTCAAGGGATTGACTTCACTTGTCTCTTTGATGAATTGTAATTTAGTTTGCTAATAAAAGGCAAGACTCACTGATGATGCCGACTACGATGCTGGCGAAACGTCTGGGAATGTACCAAGTCTACGGTCCGATTCTAGAAATGATTAGGCATACTATGGACTTCTGACAAGGTGCATTCATCCACGTCTTCCTGCTAATATGAACAAGTTCCGAAATCAAGGTCAAACAACTTCTATTAACAGAAAAAACTTTCAGAAAAAAGGCAAATGATAAATACTATTTTTTAAATAGCAAACTCAAGAATCATTAACTGTTTTTGATAAGGAGCCAGTTGGAAGCCTAAACTCAAGCATATAGTGTATTTGGAAGAATAACGGAAGCACAATAAATGCTAGTCATAATAGGTTAATGTATTAACTGTTCATTGTAAAATTAAGTAAGGTAAAATAACCTTTTGTATCCAAAAATATTTTAATTTGGGTTTATAATGATTATTATTAACATAGGCCTTTAATTTCATTTATGACGAGTGACTACTATAATTTTTTAGTCGTAATACTTGATTTAGGAACAAAATAATTACACTTAAATATTCGTACATGGAAATTTGGGATAATGTTTAAGAAATGCGGCTGATTTAAATTATGCTAATTTTATAAGCTAGAACATTCGGATTTTGTTTTAAAACAAATTGCGGCAAACTCCAGTGAAAAATACAATGGTGTTGGGGAAATTTAAGATAAATGGTCTTATCTCCACAAAATAGGTGCTTTAATTTGGATGTCTTTAAGGGATAAGTAAAAAACTTAAAATAACGTAAACTAGATTAGATAAGGTAATTTATTGTCTAAAAAT